AATGTAGGAAATCGCATTATATGCTGAACTTCCTACAATTTAGGTGTACCGATGGAGAGAGATTTAATAAAAAAAAAAAAAAAAAAAAAAAAAAAAAACGACCAAAAATCTATGGAATAATTCTTACTGAATCCACTACACGTCTGTTCTAAATATTGTTATATAACTATTACTGCAGGTTATGAACTTGAAAAAACTCTATGCTACGGTGTCGTAGTGAAAGGTAGTGTAACTAGATGATAAGAAAATTATTGTCTAAACTAAAATTTAATATCTTAGTAAAATTTAATTTTCACAAAAAATTTGTTGAATATTTTTAGTAATTGTTTGAGTTCTTTTGAATGATTCTTTAGAACACAATAATTATTATAAACAAGTACAAATTTTATGTTAGGTTTACATTAAAATCAGATAGGGGAATGAATTTAGGAATGAAAAAAAAAAATTTAATTTTATATAATAAATGATAATGAATTTCATTACCGCCTCTAAATAGTCAACAGATGTCATATCCTTCTTTGCAAGCGAACAACTTGGACTGACACGAGAAACCTTTTGTTTTGGTGGCATGTTTGTAGGAGTTCAAATTGAATCAATTTCATGAAGGGTCCTTCAATGGTACTTAGTCCATCCACGTGGAATGGAAGTAACATGACAAAATCGAAAGTTGGGATTCTGCTGAAGAAATATTGTTCTAGAAAATAGGTTTAAGGCGAAGAATTTTTAGAAGCAAAGCATAAGTATAATTCAAAATGTTGAACCAATATTTTTTAAGGCCCATTCATTTTTCAAATTTTGGTACTTCTGCTGTACAAGATTTAAATGCAAAACCGAAATAAAAAAAAAGAGTTCAAAAAAGTCCAGATATGTGAGTGTCCCGCTTGTTTTTAGGTTGCACTTGCCTATTACTGTATACCAATTATACCTAAAGAAAATTGCAGTTTTTGTCCAACTTCAAAATCAGGGAATTTGTGCCAAAAAACTGGTAAAAATATTATTCTACAATAGTTGGAAAATTACTCTTTCATGGGGGCCCTCAAGCTTATGACCAAAAAATGTACTTGATTTATTTAAAAATTAACTTTTTTACAAGGTGTACAACTTTGCTTCCGCCAGTTTTTCAATAGTGGGCTACAGTGTAAGTAACGGTCGCGATAAACAGATCGCAGACGTCGGCAGTTAGCTTTGAGCTTCGGCAACATAACCCCATTTCAAAAAATTATTGGATTTGTGTGTGCAAGACGTAACGTGTCTTTCGCGATTTAAAAATGTCAGTGTACGAGCCGAAAGTCTCGTCATTTGCGGGAGCCTCTGGCTTTTTTGTTCAATATGAAGAAAAACTGCGGCTGAGTCTCATCGATGCTCTCCATACTTATGTGAGTGACTTGTATTTAGTGAGAGAACGTGTCACGATGTTTCAACCGCTTCAGGGAATGGTGGACTTTAACGGTGGAAGACCGACATAGTGGCGGAAGAGCTGAAAGTTTTTGAGGATGCAGAATTGGAGCATTGCCTGAGTAAAGACTCGCGTCAACACCTCAAGCAAGAACTTGCAAGATCATTGGGGTGACACAGGCAAGCCCATTAAAAACGTCTCAAAGCCAGGGGTATGATCAGAAGGAAGGAACTTTGGGGTCCCATATGATTGAAACCGAGAGACATTGGAAAGGCGTTTGTGTGTTTGTGAAACAGTTTGCTTCAGAGGCAAAACGGAAGGTTTTCGGCATCGTGTTGTACCGGGGACGAAAAATGGGTTTCATTACGATAACCCTAACACGGAAAAAATCATGGGGTATCCCGGCCAATGCTTCCACGTCGACGGCCAAACCGCACTATTCCATGGTCCGAGATCATGCTCTGCATTTGGTGGGACCAGCTCGGCGTCGTAACCATGAGCTTTTAAAACAAAAGTGAAACAATCACAGGTGATCGATATCCGAACGCCAAATTAATGCGTTGAGCCGAGCATCGGAAGACAAACGCCGCAACACAGCGAGAGGCACGAATAAGGTGATTTGCTTTGCATGGCAATGCTAGGCCCACGTGCAAGAGTGATCAAAAACGTACCTGGAAAACGTTGAAATGGGACATCCTACCCACCCGCCGTATTCTCCAGCGTTGCTCCCTCTGATTATCACTTGCTCCGATCAATGGCCCCAGACCTGGCTGAAGCAAACACTTCCCGATCATTTTGAGATGTCAAAAAAGTGGATTGATTCGTGGATCGCGTCCAAAGATGACAATTTTTCGACGCGCATTTCGCACACTCCGGAAAGATTGGGAAAAAGTTGTGGCCCAGCGCAGTGTCGGACATTACTTTGCCAAGTAATATCTGTGTAAAGCATATATGTTCAAATAAAGGGTTCATATTTTTTAGGAAAAAACGGCGGAAGCAAGTTGTATACCTTGTATGTAACCTTAAAGAGATGGGAAAATTTAGGAAGTGAGGTCTATAAAGGAATGATTTTCCATCTTATTTAGTAAGGCTGCATTCTTGTAGAGCGTGCATTCAAGAGAAGGACAATTACCTTATAGGGTATTTCCACAGCTTGACATTGCAGATTGTCAAACTCAGCATAACGATATGTATTAATTTGATGCATCAACTTCACTGTTCTAGTCTCTTCTTCACTGACATAGAAGAGATCATTGGTGGTGTAAACAGCACTAAAAGGATGTTCCAGATCACATCGAAAATAGGCAGCACATATCAGTAGCAACTGTAAAGTTGCATTTACAGATGCTAAAAAATGAAGAGCATAATTATTGTTTAGAAGTAAAGTTCATACTATTTTTATTATTAAAAATTTGATAATGAAGTAGTCCCAAGATGTGGGTGTTAATGAAACTACCTCATTTCATTCACAAAAAAATGTCCATGGGGAACAAACATTTGCAGAATAATAGGAACAGTATATGTTCTTGAGACGATATAAATAGAAATAAGCTGAATTTTAGTTATGTATCTTTCTGGAAGTAGGTTCCCTATTATTAACTTATTAAAACTGGAAAAGTGCATTTTGTTAAATAATGGATGAGCTGGTTTTGATAGCTAAATACTCTTAAGACAATATATAGGCATTATAGATAGAACTTAAAAATAAAAATTAAATTAGTCTTTAAGCTGTTAGTTTGCAAAACAGTTATCAAAACTTTTGCTCAGTAAATTTTTGATAATGCAATTATTTAAGCACATTTATAGAATTATTTAACTGTAATAAATGTTATACCATTTGAAAAGTATGAACTGTGTGTGAACAAAGTATTTTAATGTTGAAAAGGAAAACTTTGCTTACAAGATTTAAACATTTAAATTTGATAACAATATATGCAATGCTAAGTACAAAGTGCATTCTTATACAAGTTATGAGTAAAAAAATTTAATATAATTAACTATTGTACAGCAACAAAAATTCAGTAGAACCTCAGCATTCTGAACTAATGGGAGTGTGACATGTTTGGATTATCCGAAAAAATGTACAGTACATATTCAAATACATCTATAAGATTACCAGACAATGCAATGTAGTGAGCAATGTGAGAAAATGACAATGTGGCATAGCACTCACATCAAGCAGATTCAGTTCCGTACGACAAAATAAGATTACCAATTTTGCAAGTTCCTCTAAGTGAAACTTATTGCTACATTAACCTGTGATATACACATTAGTTACCAGTGCAATAAATGTTTCATTTCAATAACCTTTGTTTCAATAATTAGTTATTCAGTTCTACAGTAGTTATAAAATCTTTTCTTTACACAACAAATAAGCATTTTATATATTTTTATTTTTCCTCCATCCCAAATTTTGTTTGGATTATCTGATATTTCGGATTTGCTAAGTTCGGATTTGGGAGATTCTACTGCACTGTTAAAGCAATGATTTACTATGATTATTTTACTGGTTTTGAACGGCTACCCTTTAAAAGATTGACTAGTACTTTCTCTTCAGAAAATTTCATGTTCAAAATGCCTAGTCTGATAATCTGGGTACTGGCTATGAGCCCTTGCAAACTCCCAATTAATAAATATAATAAGAAATTTTTGTCAAAACTGACTTACTTAACAGTAGGAACATATTCTCATGCATTACTGTTATTTATAATTACAATACACATCGTAGACATCACATTCATCAGGTATCAGTATCAATAGCTCACTACCAGAAATCCACATACAGTAAAACTTGTCTAAGACTGCGTAACTGTTCCTTCAAAAAATTTTTCTTATAATGGGTTGCCAAAAACAATAATAACTTAAGTAGATTATTTTCTTTATAAATGTGTTAGTGCAACAAAGTAATGAAAATAAAGCATAATTTATCAATGAAAGTATTGCAGGAAATAAAAATATCAACAGCAAAACACAGGAGAAATATAGGACAAGCATTTATTCCCCATTGTACAAATAAATTTTGCATGTGTAGAATATGCTATGCTAGGACGACAAGACAAAATTTCTAGAATCCTACTGTCAGTTGAAGGAAATGTAGTAACGTTTTTGTGAACTGAAGAAAATGAGGACGACTGACAAGAATTCAGGGGGACAGCGAGGAGGTCATGAAAATCACACCAATGTGTTAGAAAGTTGCAGTATTAGACAGTTTTCCAGCTTATGGAGGTCATTTTCACGTATTAAGTATTTTTGTTCAGGATGGCAGGTGTCTGTCATACAACAGTTCTGCCTTAGACAAGTTTTACTGTATAATACAGCAGACATATTTTACTGTATGCTACTTTACAACATATTACCAAATGCCATTAAACAATTAAAATTGGTGCACAAATTTAAATTAAAAGTAAAAACTTTTCTGCTGCATAAGTGTTTGTATACAATTAGAGATTATAAAGATCATCAAAAAGAAAAATAATTTTCATTTTAACAATGATCTATAATGTATTAGTTTACATATACCTGTAACAAGTAATGTACTTCAGTTATTGGGTCAATGACCCCATTCCTATTCTGTTAGCAAACAAAATCTGGAGCTCGAGAAAACATCAGATTATACTTCAACCCCCACATGTGACATTGTTTTTTGTTTCTTTTTACTGTTCTTTGACTGAATAAATAAAATCAAATGAAATAAGTTGATCAAAACTCAGATAGCTAGATGGAAAGTATGAGGATGAGTAGGTCTAAATACAGGAACATTCCTAGCCAACCACCCAATGACACCCCTCACCATTTCACCATAAGCAACGGATATTCAATCTTTAACAATCCTAGATCCTTACCACCTTTTTCCAACAGTCCTATCTTCTCTTAAAGTCAACTACTCACCCCAGAGTTCAGCCAGCCCTAAGAAGAGCCTAATTTACATCGTCCACCAAAGATCCCAAAATACAGTAAACAGGACAAGACTTAAACACCAACAAAAAATTCCTTCTCATGCAGAGTACTTATTATATCAGTGGTTAGCCATTGTAGCAAATTCCTTAACCATGAGAGAGAAATTTCCTTTAGTTTTTGGTCACTGGTGTTTTCAAACCAAGTGCAGCATAGTACACCTAATAGAAAACTTGGAAGCATAGACCAGCTCCTTCAAACTACGTGATACAGTAATAATTATCGATGGACAGAATGACAATCATAGCAGAAAATTTATCCCTGGAGACCATCTATCGAAGATACTAGCAACTGTCTTGACACTCATTACTTACTAACATGTCACAGCATTTGCACAAACAACAACATTAAAATGGCTAATCAACATCTAAAACATCACTTAAGGGGGACACCAAACTCTTTTTTTGTGTGCAAAATCCTCTACTTTAATCAGGCTGGCAAACAGAAACTTAGTACTATGTTCACATTGGAAGATTTGAGCTCTTTTTCCATCTTTGCTACCAGCCCCTTCACCCACACTTACCCCACCACCTCCATCTCCACCTACTCTACCTCCATCTCCATATCTATCTATATCCTCACCCTCATCTCCATTTCATCTATTCCCACTACTTGTACACGAGTCACTTTGTCACTCTCACATCTGCTCCAACTTCCTCCTCTAGTTCTAATGGCCATCTAAAGTACAACTTTTACTTCAACCACTGTTCACCTCCCACTTACAACCTATAGCATAACAAGAAAGCCCGCAACACAGAACACAAATATCTATACATATATTACATCATAATACACAGTCCTTAAGAAGCAAACTTACAGATATGGAAGTATAACTGAAGAAAAATCTTCGACACTTAGCAAAATCATATTTCACTGAACATTGGCTCACTCAACAATTAGATAGCACAATACATTCCAGAATTCACCCTAGCTACTGTACACAAAATAAGAAAATCACGTCATGGTACGTATGGTGGAACATGCATCATTGGTAAAAATAATATACAGTATGTGACAATTACAGAATACTTCCCTCTCTTACAAGAGAAATACTTGAAGATGTCTATGACAGATTTACCAAATCAAAGAAGTTGGATTTTATGTATGCACTACAGTCCTACATGAAACACAAGGTTGTCTTAGAAAATCTTGAAATTTTGGTGTTTAACTTAAAAGACAAAGAAACTATAAAATGATATTATGCTGTAATTTCAATTTAAACTGTTTGTGAAAATCAGTATCCGCTTATTGTCTTATACCTACATAAATTTCAATATAGTGTTTAAAATTACACTAAATAGGCATTTTTTGAGCTGAGCACTTTGCCAATCAGGCTCTAAAAGGGATGGGGAGTGATTAAATGAAAGTTCTAACTCTACCAATGTTGTGTATGAGAATCTGGTGCCCCCCGTTAAGTGGGGTCCCGAAAATGTACACTAAATGCGGCAGAAGAGGAGATGGCAGTGACCGCGGCACAGGAATCTAGGATGGACGCACGGGTCCCGAACACTGACTTATAAGTGAGGAGAGGCTTCGCTAGATTGTTGCAGGTGAACTGTCTTAGTATTATGAATAAGGAACCCAAATTTTGGAATTTAATTGAAGCATGTGATCCTGAAGTCATAATGTGAACAGAGTCTTGGCTTTCGGACGCGGTAGCAAACCCGGAAATTTTTCGTTCAGACTTCATTACGTTTAGGAGAGATCGCGAAACTAGAGGCGGTGGTGTCTTTGTATGCGTGAAAAACACATTTAATATCGGATCAAATTGGGTTGATAAAGAAATTTAAATGACGAGTGTAAGAAATTTTCTGTTCAGGAAGTATCTTAAAAATGATTGCTTGCTATCGTCACCGGGCAATAGCTATGAAATTTTAGGCGCCCCTCTAACGAAAGAACAAAAAAATATAAATAACCGTCATGTAGTTATTGCTGGGAGACTTAAATCTCCCAGACGCAAATTGAAGGGATTGTTTGCGAAGGGAAAGTACAACAAGAACTAGTCAACCGACTTTGTCTGGGACAGCGGAATTAGAGCAGGTAGTAGACAGGCCCGACACGGAGGATGCCGATTGTGAAAATGTGTCTAATTAACCGAAATATTTATTTCTTGTCCGTGCGATTTTTAGAAATAATGACCATAAAGCCGTTTTAGTCGATTTACAGTTAGTATTCAAAGAAAATAAAAGTAATTACGACCGGTATTCTAGTGAAGAAATACAAAGAAAGCGAAATGTACAAGGGTTTCAAATTACTTAAGAGAAAGATTATGGCGAGTTTCTTAGAAATTAGGACGAGGAATCGAAAGAAAATATGGCGAGAGTTTAGAAATATTTAGTAAATGCTGAGCGGATCACATGCACAAATTCAGACAAGAATTCAGAAAACGGACGTTGGGAAATATTCATTCGGCGTATCGCACTATTAGGGACTGGAACGGTTTGCCTGTGACAATCTTCGATCCCTTTCCTCCAAACCTGAGCAAAAATTAAATAAAATTAGTTCCTTGAATTGTAGAATTGTGTTAAAAATATATTTAATAAAATACAGTGTAATTAACTATGTCTTCCTGTTATATTATTATTATTATTATATTATTTATTATTATATTATTATTATTTTATTATTTTATTATATTATATTATTATTATTATTATTATTATTATTGTGTGAAGTGCAAGTGACGTGTGAAAACTGAGAGAAACTAGTGAGTAAAAAAAAGACATTTACAGCTTGCTGTATCGCAGTGCGTGTAAGTTGTGTGAAGTGGAGTTCTATGAAAGATGCACGAGAAATGTCCCGTTGATTTGATTATTACATTTGTTCATTGTAAGTATCTGTCATGTTAACGTTTAGTGTATGATTCTCCACCAAAGTGTCTCACACATTAATGCCAGATTAAGTAATAAATCTAATCTAAATGAATTTCTTTCAATACATTTTATTGGAAAGAAAAACAAAAAACAAACAGGCCCCCATGTATCTACTGCCCCAGGCCTCTTTTCTCTGCAGATTATTAGTGTAAAATATAAATGGTTTTATTAATTCATTCAGAATGCCTTAGATTCTAAAATAAGTACTGAATAGAGGTATCTTGTGCATATAAAAAATATGTATTTCCATTAAAATCTTTTCCCTAGTCATTGCCAGTAACTATCATATCAACATATTTTTTAAATTACCAGTATCTTCCAGAGGTGGTGAAGTAAATTAATTACAAAAAGATGAATAAAATAATCAATGCAGCAATTTTATTAATTGAGAAGAAAAGGCTTTTTGTATTTTATTATTGCTATCTACAAGTAACTTACCATCTGGTATCAACTGATCAATTCGATTCTTTGTTTTAGACCTAATCCAATCGTTGATTGATGTACGTAATTCTTCATGAGGTTTTGAGACATTAATGGATTTAATACAGATTGAGTAATTTTTATGTGAAGTGATGTACCAGTCCTTCATCAGTCTCATTGTATCTGGAGTATAAATTCTCAAAGCTGTAGCTAATGTCACATCTTTCATTCCCTGTCAATGAATGATAAAACAACAGTGCAATTGTAATTAATAATGTTGCTTGAAAAATTTTGGGCGATAAAATCTTAGGGAGAATTTTCTGGACTTACAGAAATTCACAAATCATTTAAATTATGTTTAAGCATGTAAATGAGCAGGAAAATAAAATGAGAATTACTCATTTCATATTGTTCAAGACATAATATTTCATTTCTGTCACATGACAGAATGCCATTATTCCATTACATTCTAATGTTTCCTGAATGCTAGAATTTTTCCTTTCATATTACACTTAAAACATATTTTTAAGAGTGAAAACATAATAGGGTTAATGTCAATTAAGGTTCGCATATTGCATGAAAGAAATGACTTCGATAAATTGAGAATCCAAATACACTACTCACAGTCTAGAGAAAAAATAAGGATTATCAAATTGGTGTTAAATCATTTCTAGCTGATTAATTTGTATACAAACATGAGGCCTGCGCCATTCTCTTAAGCGTCCTTTATGTTATCTAAGGTCTAAATTGAATAAAAGATGTACCATTTGAAAAAATCGTCTAAAAAAAAATATCAAATTTACCTATGTTAGACACAAAGTTTCGCAAAAACCAATCATATTTTCGAAAATTGATCACATTATTTGAAGATCTGTTTTTGATGAACACATTTCATTTTAATCTAGTGGTGCTTCAGAATGGCACAGACTCACCCGTATTGTATTTCCTTTGGTCTCGGTTAGCTATTTGAACTTGACAAGTATTCTTATTTGCTGTCATCTATCCCCGCCCAAAGTTCCTTTTTTTTAACATTTCCTTTCTCGGATTCCTTATTTCGGATTCCGGATTTTTCGGATTCCTAATTGTAGAGCGGAAATTTATTTTAAGATTATTAAAGAACAGTAAAATCTCGTCATAAATAGCAATTTTCTTTGCAAAATTTGAAACTGTCTTAAAAAAACTCGTTTAAGTGGTATTGTAAATTCGAAATTTCAAGCTCTTTTTCACAGACAATTTTTGAATTTTCGAAAAACGTAATTTGAGGTAATTTAACTCACAAATACAATAGTGTTTACAAATTGCTGGAAATGTGCATACCAACGGGGTGAGAAATCTTTCAAAAAATTACAGTTGGGTAATTTTTGAAAAAATAAAAAAATCACCGAAATTAATCTTATATCATATTATGCAATTACCACTATCTGTTCTAAATGTTTGAAGAAAAAATTGAGCCGTTTTTGAGAAAATGGCGTTTGGGCGTTTCTGAAAATGCGGAGTTTTGAGTTAGTTTTCACAGAAAACTTTATAGGACATTATTTAAAGCATATGTACTCATAAATACAATAACGTGAACAAATTGACGCTAATATTAATATTAACGACATGAGAGGGAAGACAATTTTTTTTTAACTTTGAAAAAACAAAAGAATGGAGCAATATGGCGTTTATCTTACAGAGTACATTAACACTAACCCTACCAAAAGTTTAAAGAAAAAATTAGTCATTTTTTGAGATTTTTTTTAAATTGCACATATTGTACGCAATATTGCGCGAAAACTAGTAAAATTTTCAAAAATTTACATGACCTTAATGAAAGAACTATGGAGAACAAATTTTATTTGAAGGAAAAATCTTTCTCTTTAATTTTTCAGTTGTAGGAAGCCACCGAAAAAAATTAATAATTTTGAAATTTTCGAAAACCCAGAGTTAACCATGAAAATCTGACCTATGCCACTTTTATTAGTGTATTTTACTCCATTCTTACAAGAAATTTAAAGAAAAACTTTGGAACCGTTATTGTGAAAAGTTTGAAAATGTCAGGTCATTATGTAGAGTATCCCAAAATTTTGAAGAATGTTTTTCAAAATCTCATAGCTGACTCGAGCCAGAGAACAGTGGTTTCTACAACTTGGAAAACATCCTACGCATCCCTAGTAGTGTTCACAGATGGGCATTTTGAAAAGAACCACTTTTTCGGTATCTGGGGACCCCAAAACGTGTATTTCCGTTGAAATCCCGAAATCGATTTTCCGCAGCAATTCATAACTTTCCCTATACTACGCAATTCATAACTTTCCTGTATACACACGTATACGGGAAAGTAAAAATTTGGTGACAGTTTTTGAGCAAAAATGTTTGAACAAAATTAAAAACTGCCCATATTTCACGCAAACTTATGAGAAAATTTCTCAAAATTTCGAAAAATTGTACATGATCTAATGTTAAAAAATATCTTTAAAGAACAGAATTCACTTAAGGAAAATTCTCTATCTACATTTTGACTGTAGGACGACGCCGAAAAAAATTGTACATTTTTGCAATTTTCAAAAAATCAAGTTTTTCAAAGAACATGAAACATGCACCACTCTTTTCACTGTCCTTCACAGTATCCAACAACAAAATTTAATCAAAAATGTTGGAGCAATTTTTTTAAAAATTCTTGAAAATGTGCCAGGGCCTTCATGTAAAGTACTCCGCGAAATTAAAACATCGATTTCAAATTCAAGGGGCCGCGACATCCGCCCGATCGATAGAGGAATATCAATTCTTGAGAAAATCATCTGAAAAGTTTAGCCGCTAACGTTGTTTACAGATAGATGAACGGACAGACAGACATTTTGCCGTCAATTTTTCGGTATCAAAGACAACATGCATTCTGACTTCACCACGTGTTAGAGGATTTTTTTCTCTAAATTTAACATCTAGATTTATCCACTTTTCGATTCCAGGGCCCAGCAATAAGAGTTTTTCTGCCGAAAATTCGCCGCTTTTCCTGCAGCATTATATAACTATAACTTACTGCGTAAGCTGTAGCGAGAAAGTATAAATACTTTATGCAATATTTTACTATATTTTCCAAAACGAATGAAATACTTGTTTCTTAGTGCAATTACAAAGGAACCTTGGAAATTGTGGCCTTTTCCAAAATTATTACAAATTTTCACTTCCGAATTACTTTATTGTCACCTCTTGTGACACTTGATTTTACCTGTTCCAGTTGTAAAATAATTTAACTAGTACTTGTTTGTTTGAGAGCAATTTATGTGTATTTATTTGAAACATTACGCTTCGGATTAAAACACACATTCTTGGCTACTGCATAATTCGCACGACGTAATTGAACACTTCAATAGAACAGCCAGAAATAAAATCATCTGCTGCGAGACACATGTGACACTAGCTCTAACTGAAATGCCGCATAATAAAGCCAGCGGACTTCGAGAAACCTTACCGACTTGCTTACGAGTATCTAGCGGCCTTGGCGCGTCGGATATTCAAGCTCGAGTTGACACGATTTAAAATGACCCGATGTCCAAGAATTGTTTGGGGGTCATGTTTTAGGGTAGTTGAAGAATATTTAGGAGGTATGTGTTAAAAAATTTTGAAATCGGAAAATAAGTGACACTTTAGACTACATTACAGCATGCTATTGCAATATTTGTGAAGACTGTTTTAACGCAGAAGGTTTTTTTAAATTTATTGCAGTATTGTACAAGACTTTTTTATTTGCTGTTCTTGAGCAGGGTGGATGTCGTGACAACACGTCGTGACGCGAGAGGCATTTAAAAAAATATTTGTATATATTTTTAAAAATTAAAAGAATATATGAAAGTGGTGTTCAAATCATGTTATTCAGTGAATGCAGCTGTGTCTACACAAAAAGTTTAAAGAAAACAGTTGTAGTGACATTTGACAAAATGTCTTTTGAGCGTTTCTGAAAATGAGCAATTTTACGCTCATTTTCATGCAGCTTTGGATAAACTTTATAAAAAATCATTTGAAGCCATTGTACTTAGAAATGCAGTAATAAATAAATGCCCGTATTGTAAATATTAACGACATTTTGCCAAAAACTTCATATTTATGAAATTTTTGAAAATTATGATTATACTTTGCACATTTTTAAATGGCGTTTATGCCATTTTATTCAGTACATTTAGTACTAAACGTACAAAATGATTAAAGAAAAACCTAGTGTTTTTGAGAAAATTTTGTATTTCATATTGCACATATTTCTATAAAAACAACGTGAAAACTACTAATATTTAAAAAATGTAAATGCCATTTATCAAAGGACTAATGTTGGTGATAAAAAATTCATTTAAAGAAAAATTCTCGATCTCCAATAATGTAGTGATCCGAAGGGGCTCGAAAGTTTCAAACTTTGCAGTTTTCGAAAATTCAGAGTTAAGAGAAAAAAATGGATATTTGTTATCTTTATAAGCGTATTCTTACAATCAATTTTATAAACAAATATGAGCTTTTTTTTTAAATGACCCAGGGTCTTCAAGTAAAGTAACCCCCAAATTCTAAGATTTTTTCAAAATCGCACGGCTTCGAGTCGGAGCAGATTAACCGGAAAATATTCATTACAGAAAAAGCTCTATACGTATACGTTAGGATCGCTACAGACGACTTGGTAGATGGGCGGATGGATAAGCGGGTGGAGGCTTTGGAAAACACTTTTCCTGAGTCGGGGGATTCTAAAACGTATATACCTGTTAAATATCGAAATCGGTTTTGCGCAGCATTACATCACTTTCTCTACTTGTACAACGTGTATTAATCCGTATATACCTATCGTACCGGACGTACACAAGATACTCGTATTAAAAGTCCCTATTGTGAATGCAATAATATTGTAGGACGACGCGGAAGAAATTTTGAATGTTTACGATGTTCAAAAATTGACATGTTGTAACGTAAAATCGAACCATATTGTTTTTATAAGCGCATATTGGTTTGTTAAAGAATAAAATTCAAAGAAAAAAGTTTCAGCGGTTTTTAAAATAAATACTAAAATTCCCCTTATTTAATGAAAAATCTACACATATTTTAAAATAAAGTCAATGACCTTATAAAAAATAGTTTTGAAGATCTGAATTCGGTAAAAAAAAAAAATTATCTTCAATAATGTCATTGGAAAATTCGAAACTTTTGCGATTTTAAAAATTTCAGAAAATTGAACGAAAATCGGACCTACACCATTTTTTAGTAATTTATATAATTTTGCTGAATTTGTCGAAAAAAATTCGAACCATTTTTGAGGAAATTTTGAAATGTTCTTGAGTCTATGAAACCTCCATCTCCGATAATCAAAAAATCCGTCTCAGATTCGGCGACATCAGCGAGGATCGGGGAATAACAAGTTCGGTGAAAATCCTGCCTACGACTTGGCAGTTAGTGGCATTCACCGACAGTCGGACAGACGTACAGGCGTTGAGTCCTAAATCAACTTTGCAGTATCAAAGACCACAAAACGGTAATTTTGCCTACACAACTAGAGGGAGTATTTTAAAATACTTAGGAACAAGAATTACGTACTTTTTCGGAATCAAGGGCATACAGTACTGTTTTTACAGCTTTTGGTTATAAATATTGGATTATTCCTTTCCAAAGGCGAGCGCAGCCTAAAACAAAAGAGGTGGCAACTACATTTCTGTCCCCCTGATCTCTTCAACTTAATATAATTATGACTTATTAGAATAGTAAAAAACTTAAACACACCACAAGGAGAATGAAATAGTAACTTTGATGCAAGAATTAATAAATACGATTTCTTTTATGTTAAACCATTTACATGGTTGCCAGATGACTTGGAAAGGCTCTTCACCAAATGTATCTCTTTCTCAAACCGACAAGTTAAAAAAGAACTGGACATATTTAAGGAAATAATCGTTTTCTCTTGGTTTGTGGTATTCAGGGGCCACGCCCCCGGCTGAAGGCGCGGGACTCACGTGCAGGTGGTCGTGGAGCGCGCAGTAGCCGCGCTCCGTGAGGTAGCGGTCGGCGGGCGTCTGCAGCAGCCGCGCCAGCTCCTCGAAACTGCCCTCCGACGCGCCGGCCAGCAGCGACGCCAGCCCGTGCTGCAGCAGCGGCGGGGCGAAGCACACGTCGCCCTCGCACTCCGCTGATATCGCCTGCGACCAACGAGCTAGCATGCAGTGGCTCAACCGCCGCCACGGCAAGTTGAAACAATTTTTACTTTCGCGTATACATATATACGGAGTTATATAAGTAATAATATAAACATATGGGAAAGTTATGTAATACTGCGGAAAATTGATTTCGACATACACGTTTTGGAGGTCACTAGATACCGAAAAAGTGTTATTTTCAAAAGTCCGTCCATCTGTGAACACCACTAGCGCCTAAACTATACGTTTCTTTTATTTTTTTATTTTTTAATTAAAGAAACCCTGATCATCTGGCTCGAGTCGAAGCATTGACACTTTGAAAAACGTTCTTTAAAATTTGGAGGTACTTTACATAATGACCTCCAGACATTTTCAAACTTTTCTCAAAAACGGTTCCAAATTTTTTCTTTAAATTTCTTGTAAGAATAGAGTAAAATACACTAATAAAAGTGGCATAGGTCCGATTTTCACGGTTAACTCGAGATTTTCGAAAATTTCGGAAGTATAATTTTTTTGGTGTCTTTCTACAATTATATAATTAAAGATAGATATTTTTCCTTCAATAAAATTTGTTGTCCATAATTAGTTCTTTTATTAAAGTCATGTACATTTTTGAAAATTTTAGTAGTTTTCGCGCAATATTTGCAATTTTAAACATTTTTGCTAGTGATAGGACAAAATGTACTTTTTGAAATGATAAGAACATCAGTTTGCTCTGTTCTTTTGTTTTTTCAAAAATTACAGAAATGTAATTTTTTTACTAGTCTCTCACGTTGTTAATATTTAAATATTGCGGCGATTTGTTCATATTACTCTATTAATGAATACATGTGCTTTAAATAGTCATATAATGTTTCTAAAAAATCAACCGTTTTCTGCGAAATCTGGTTCAAAATTCCGTATTTTCGGAAACGCTCAAACGCCATTTACTCAAAAACGGCTCCAAATCTTTCATTCAAATTTTTGGAAACTACAGTGCTAATTTCACTCTTTAATATTGAGCATTGTATTTGTGAGTTGAAGTGCTTCAAATTATTGTTAATGAAGTTTATCAAAAACTGAAACTTTTTTATGAAAAAGAGCTTCAAATTTCGAATTTACTGTTCGATAATACAGGAAAAGTCTGAGCCATTCTGTAGCACCACTCGTTCTTCTTGCAGTCATAGCCCTCTGAGGAATTAATCAATGTAATACATTAGTGCTATTGGAATTTTATAAAATATAAATCTACGTCTGTAATAGAAATTAGGATTAAGAAAGCACATACTTGAAAAATTATATATTTGTGGTTTGATTACTTCTATTTTTACAGTTATGTGTCGAACATACTGAAGGCATTGTGAATATTAACAGAATTGATTTAAATTGATGCCTTATTTTACGTGGCGACACTCAGGACATGAGACCTGCACTTCCGTGTGACCACGGGCTCCTTTCACCAACTAGCGGAGAAAGGAGGTATTTCTTGGGCGACGGAACAGGCGATTTGAATTTAGCTCAGAGGCTTCATTTAGGCTTGAAGATCTTTTGTATGCAGTAAATCTACATGGGACAGCCGGCTTCGCTTCCCCTCCGATACGTTAACCGTTACACTCATCGCCGCCGCCGCCGAATTATTCTGTCCACTAACATGAAGTAAATACAGTGACACGAAAAGGACAAAAATGTAGAAATAAGATCTGATACAAACAACATGTCGATTCAGTATAACAATACTCCTACATCTGTGTCATCCCCATGCGTTTTGATTGCAAAATACATGGTTAATTCTACGAGCGTCCACCAAGCGCGCTGAAACTGTAGGGTCAGTCGTTATATGTCGCATCCTCGCACATCTTCTTGAGATTTCATTTCACTAGATGCGAAAGGTGTGTGTGTGTATGTGTGTTTGTATGTGTGTGTGTGTGTGTGTGTGTGTGTGAGAGAGAGTGAGTGATTATTTTGGCAACAGGACTATGATATGACATGTGAGGCTCATTTTTCGATACAAAATAGTTTCTATTAAAGAAGAGCGAACATTTCTGGTTATTAGATTTCATCAAAAAAAGCTTGTTGCTCTCATTTGTTCTGAATTCAATGAATATTAGTACAGAAGTGGCGGTAGGTATTCCAGGGCTCAAAAAAAAAAGTGCGCGTATAATAGTACATTCTAACTCGTGGCCCGCGACACAGCACTTCTTTCACACGTTGGCCCGAGGAATACCCTGCGCCCCACTGAGAAATCCTGCTTGTGATTATCTTGTAATTAATTTTTTCTTGTGAAGCAGTTATATACTCACAGACACATTAAACTAGACTGACAGAGCAGATCGTACAAGTGAAACCAAGCGGGAGAAGCTAGGAGGCAAATTTTAAATGGGTTTTTACATTTGGGTGGGTTGCCAGTTATCACCATTTTACCATGTACGCTATAATTTAACCTCGGCAGCACGCGAACACTTTACACACTTGGCCGGTTCGGAAATGTTTCCGCCCTCGGCCCCAAAGCAATGATCATGTCCTTCTAGACGACCGGTAAATCACTCCGTTTCTCCCTTGCGACAACTTCTGCACTGTTTTCTGCCTCCACCCGACACGCTTTAAATGCCCTCCACTGCTAGTGCTGCCACCTGCCGTCTGTGAGGGGATATTGCACGATTACGTCGAACATAAGCGGGAGTCATATTAATATGACTGGACTGTGTATATTAAAAAAAGGTTGTGGTACCGTATCCATGCGTTAGAATAATACTGTACGAGTAATCGATGTGCCCGAATCCAATATTTAAATGTCGAGGTTCAAATGCGAAAAAAAGTTGTTTTTCATTCTTTAACATTTTTCAGAATAGAATGTAAGGCACCGAGTTCAATGCTGAAGCGCAATTTTCATAAAAACTTGAATTTTTAGAAATTGAGGGCCTGAATTTTTTCAAATCACTTTTGCTTTGTTTTGTAAAGAGTTTTTCAAAAGATAGCAAAAGTTTTAATAGAAGTTGCAAAATTGTAACATTGTTCACAATTGTTACTTTTTACCACTTATACAAGAAATTTTGAACCGTAGTTTTCCTTTGATTTCATGACTCTTCTACTAACCATCATATTTATCCAGTACATTTGATGTAACTTCGTTCCGAATTTTATCGAAATCTGAGCAACATGTGCGTAATGTAACTGTGGAATACATGCAAGTTTACAAGCAAAACGAACAGATCATGCTTGTAGGTTTCTAAGAGAGACAGATTCGATCTTCATCCTTGCACCTACTATACCAAAGAAAAGTACACATTGAACGGATCAATCACACTACTTATATTAAAATTTTATTAACTGAAATGTCATGATCATCATCCTTTTCATAAATAATGTTTTGAACTGAGCATGAATGCGAAGTTACGGAGCCACAAAGATTGCCGCTAGTACCTGCAATGTAACATATCTTGAAAATTTTTTTCAATGGCAAGCAGCTTTCGAAGGCAAGAAGATTCAATTTCAACAACAAAAAGGTTACATGACACAATGTTACATTTTTGGAGTAATATATTTAAACACATTTGCTGATTTAGAAAACGCAGGACTCACTTGATAGAGTTTCTGCGTGAAACTGTAGTTGCATTTCAGGATATCGGTAAGTGCCTTTCTACTTTCTTCATCGTTGAAGAACGAGGACCAAAAACCGCCCATGGTGTGATTACACTGTAAAAAAGAAGGCGCAACATTTAATATTCATTCAAAGGACAGACATAGAAAGGCCTACAGATTATGGTAAATAAGGGTCTTCAGAAAAGGAGATGCAAGGAAGCTGATTATATATTTTAAATCAACACAGTTTTCGCCCAAGACATTCATGCGTCAGACGATTGATGCCAAGATATAGCAGATTCAATAGGCGAAGGAAGAACTATCGACACAATAATATTAGATTTTTAGGCATTTGGGCCATCTAATTGTTATGTAGGTAGAAACGAGTTCACCATAGAAAAATCTTGTGGATTAAAGAATTTCTTACCCGGCGTACTCAAACAACACCGTTGGGTGAATGTCTTACGTATATTGTGAGCTCTTAACATAAATCGACGCCAAGTTTTTCAATTATTACTCCTGCTCTTTTCGGTCAATGGCTATTAAATACTAATTATGTTATTAAATTATAAATAGTAAAATAAGAGAAGGCAAGTGTTCAGATTTGGAACAATGTAGTTTTATGAGGAATGTTTCAAAGTTCCCAGAACGTTGATTCAGCATGTTAATTATAACCTACGGCAATGGTAACCTAATCACCATCGAAGAAGGCCCTTACGCACCATACACTTGCTTTACCGCTCCTGCCATTATTAGAATCAGCGGTAGAAGGCTCCTTTCGAATCTAAGCCGTCGCATAGGATTTTATGTTCTCTGCGGTTGCAAAACGTCTCCCTTTGAGGCCCAATTTCAGATAAGGGAACAGTAATAGTCTCCGGGAGCAAGAACCCCAAAGTACGGTAGATGAATGAAGACAGGAATACTCTAGGCGTGGAATTTCTGCACAAGCGATGTGTGGCCTGGCGCGTCATCGTGATGCAGTCATCACTTTCTTTGCTATTTGGTCCATCGCACCCATCGAATCGCATCGCTCTAACTCTGCAAAACTTGCACATAGAAATTTTCAGTAACAGACTGTCCACGCCACGGTGTAGCAGGGACCATAGCATTTTTAATATATATTTTTATTTAATATATCATGTAGTACTCAGACCTTTTAGAATGCAAAAGCAAATTATTCGAATAATGAACAAATGACATCCGCGTCATCCCTGCAAGACTCTCTTCATTGATCTTGGAATTTTACCACTGCCTTGCCTACGTATTTACGAATCTGTAATATTTGTCAAAACTGACTTACTTAACCGTGGGAACATATTTTCATGTAATACTGATATTTAAAATTACAACACATTTCGTAAAAATCACGTTCATCAAGTGTCAGTATCAAAAGCTCACTATCAGAAATCCACATACAATACATGTACGTTATTTACAACGCATTGCCAGATGATATTAAACAATTGAAGTCGGTTCACAAATTTGCGTTAAAAGTAAACTCTTTTCTGTTGCATAAAGGTTTCTGTACAATTAGCGACTATACTGGTTATCAAAAACAAAAATTATGTTTATTTTAACAAAACAGTGATGTATATTGAATTAGTTTACATTTGTTTTGAATAATTTTTAAAAAAAGTCTTAATATGTTCGTAACAAATAATGTACTTCAGCTTCCGGGTTAATGACCCCCCATCTCAATCTGGTTTTAGCCCCTGATAAATTGAGTAATTGCTGAGATGGCCCCTTGTTTTGCTTCTGGACGTAAATGTAGCTTCACTATAGACACGTTTTGTTGAACTCTCCTTTTCATTGTAATGGTTAGAAGTAGATATACGGGCGATTTACTATTTTGTTAGCAATGCAGAAAAATCATACTTGCAATTCGTTTACCGATGCAAATAAGTTTCTTTTATAATTGGGTACGAAAATTGTCTACTTTTTTCAAATATCGCTAATCCCTCGATTTTTTAAATTTATTTTTATTTATTTCTTTTAAACTTTTACTCATCTTTAACTATTTATAGATAAAATCGCGGGAAGGGATTCTGTAACTCACGAAAACGTGCGTGGATGATCTTCTCCCCCATTAGTTTCATACAGTTTTTACTGTTTTTTACTAAATAAATATAAATCTATTTATTAATGAAAGAATATACATAATTTAGTATTATATATTAGATCATATGTATTTTCTGACTTAATATTTAACTTAAATCTAATCTTACAATTATATCTAACGATTTATGAATAGGAAACTCACAGAGCACATATGGGATTAATTCATTTCTGAAAAAATGTTGAGAAATGAATCTCATGGGTATTTTATTGTAGTTGGGAGCTGGCTAAGTCGTAATGGAATACTTGAGTTATTGTGTTTATTTTGGAGAAGAGATTGTTAGATATGAATGCAATATGGTGAAGTGTAGGGGGTAAATTCAATTCTTTGTGCAATTGAATGTTTGATATGAACCAGGATGCATGAGTGACATGTCTGAGGAAATCATTTTGGATGATCTGTAATTTATTGATGCTAGTTTTAGAGGCGTTGATCCAGATAGGGCATGCGGGGTCTAATTATTGATTTATGGATGGTGATGGCATTGATTAATGAGAGCTTACTACTGCGATTTTAAAGTGGATTCAGTTGAATTAGTTTTACTTTGACTTCCTGTGCTTTTACTGTTAAGTGATTTTCCAACTTAGCTTGGTATCAATAATCAGCCTTAGATATTTGACAGATTGATTTTGTGGGGGTCCATGGAAATGGGTGATTGTTTATTTGGAGAGGAGTTGGGGTTGAAAATGTTATTAATGATAATATTTTGGCTATTGATTTTGTAGGATTGAGATTGATTTTTCATTTGACAGACCAGTCATTAATCAATCAGATTTGTTTGAATTTATTTACAGATTAACTAACTTGAGTGATTAAACATAAAATAGCAGTTTCATCTGCGAATTGGGCGATGTGGGTATATGATGGAATGGGAATGTCGGCGGTGTATATATTGAAAAGTATGGGGGACAGTGGTAAGCCTTGAGGTAATCCAGCTGTAATTCTGTGTGTATTGGATGTGTATTTGTTAACTGTGACTGAAAATGTTCTATCTAGGAGAAAGCTATTAATGATATTAATTTGATAGTTGGGAGTACCTATTGCTTTTAAGTCTAAATGTTAAGCCAGGATGCCACACTTTGCAAATGTTTCCGAAATGTCTAAAAATGTCACTATTGTATGGAGTTTTTTTGAAATGCAGTGTGTATGTGCACCGTGATTCTTAATAATTGATGAGGAAGTTGAAACTTTATTAGTGAATCCAAACTCGTGCATTGGGATTGAGTTTTGTACAGATGGGAATTTAGTCTTTTAAGAATTAATTTCCTCTAGGATTTTTGATAGAGTTAAGAGGAAGGCTAATGGGTCTGTAGTTGTGAGTGCTGGTGAGATTCTTGAATGGTTTGGGGGTGGGTTTTACAATTGAGTTTTTCCAAATAATGGGGAAGTCGCCAGTTCTAATTATTGAATTGTAAATATTGGTGATATGTGCTATTGTGTAATTAGGTAAGTTTTTTAAAATTGTGTCACTTATTTTGTCGTGACCAGAGTTTTTTTAATGGCAAGTTCTTAATTAAATTGGTGACTTCATTTGGGGAGATAGTTGATTTTGTGAGATTCATTATAGTTGGAGGCTTTTGCTAATTTGAGTATGTTTGAATGCAGAGGGTGAGTAAGGATGACATTGGGAGTAAATGATTTAGCAAAGTTACCGGCTAATGATTCAGCCTTCTCATAAGAAGCGAATTTCATGCCCGTTGTTAGTAAGGGTATTATTGCTTTCTTTTTCAAGACATTTGAAGTGAATTGCCACAACGTATTGTTATTTGTCCTTAGAGACTGGATTAAATCGTTGTAAGTTGTTTGTTTCTGTTCCCTTAGTGATTTTTATACGATGTTATTCAGTAAATGTAGCTCTTTCTTAAGCTGCGGGTTTCTCGTTATGCACCCAAGTCTTCTTGTTTTGTTTCTAGTGTTAATAATTGTGAGAATGTTTTTTGGAAGCTTTTTATTAAAATGCTTCATGGTAGAGGTGAGTATCATTATTAAGAATGTTGATTGTGTTAATTATCATATTGTTTAAGAGGGTTATAGCTTGTTCTGTTTCTACGGGAGCTTTTAATATTTTAACGTAGGGTGCTGGTTTTTGAATTAAGCTCTTGATTTTTTTCCAGTGGATGTTTTGTGTGTTTAGAATGGGAGTTGGTGTGTGAGGGGGAGTGATTTGTTGAGTCGAGATGATGGTTGGTAGTTGTACATTTCAAACAAGGGAGCAGAATGAAAAAATGGTTTGGGTGTTAGAAATTGCAATGCCTAATATGTCTGGATGTTTATTATGATCTGTGAAGTAGTGAGTGGATTCTGCTGGTATAATTAACTGAAGTTTGAGAGAATTATTTTGCTGAGATAGTGGCCTGCAGAATTGGTATTTCTGCATTCCCAATGACTATTTTTAGCGTCAATATCGCCAATCAGAAGAGTTGCAGAGTTCATCTGAAAGAACGAAGAAATATTAGCATCGAGAATTTTTATTTTCGGAGGTTTGCATGCAGTTATTAGTGTTAGTAATATATTACTAAAAGGGGAATTTAATGGCCGGGGTGTGTGGAAGATTAATTTGGATGTATGGTATAGATTTTTCTATTAGATTTAGTACACCACCTCCATTTGCATTTGATCTGTCGGCTCTGACTACATTATAGCCTGCTATGTTAAATGAGTTGTCTGGGCGTAAGTTTTGCTTGCTATATTGATTTGTCTTTTAAAAAATAGGTTAGTTCTAATTTTTTATTGCTGATGCCGTTGATATTCCAGTTGAGCTGATTTATTATGAGTATTTGTAAGGTAATGCTGCATTATTGTTTTTAAAATAGGCTGAGAGAGATGCTTGAAAATTGCTTACTATTGTTGGGATGATATGAATAATAATATTAACTAAGAAGTATGTAATTGAGTTAATAATGGAATGTTCGAAAGTGTTATTAGAATTATTCATAGTAGGAGGTTTTGTGGATGGGTTGTTGTTAGATTGATTGTTTTGATTTGTATTTTGGGGAGGAGTTGGAGCAAATGTGAAGTTTGGAATGTTCTTAACAGCGGGGAGAACGGGAAGTTTTGGAGGTGGATTGTTCTTGATCTATTTTTATTATTGCCTGATTTTGGGTTATTTGAGAGGTGTGTTTTTGTTTTTTATAATATGGACATTCTATTGATCAAAAACAGCTTTGTGCGATTCATTGCAATTTTTACAGATTGCAGGTAGGTATTTTTGAGGGCAATTAACAGATCCTTTGCACAAAAAATGCATGAGATTGAATTATTACAATTATTCTTCGTGCGTCCAAAGTTCAAACAGCGCATACCCTGTACAGGTCCTTTTATTGTTTTTCGTATTTCTTGTTGAACAGTAGTATATAGTTTTGATTAATTTGTAGCACGCCCATTCTCAAATGGACACGTTATTTTTATAGTCTTGTTACATTGATGATAGACGAGTATTTGTGTTGTAGGTCTTGAATTATTTCCTCTAGTGCAATTGTGGAGTAAATGTTTTTGAACACGGCAGAAATATTTTATTAGCCAGATCTTTGTGCGTGTGTGTTGTTGTTGAATCTCTGGGCTACTGGTGGTGCTGTCCATGGCACTCTCGCTGCCGTATAGAGTTGCCATGGATCCTGCAATGCTGTGACGTAGGCCTCCGCTGGCTGAAGGGGACACACCGTTAATTATAACTGATATGCGACTGTTGGTTTTCGCCTCACTGTATATTCGCTGATTGTACTTCACTGTTACTTAGGAAGTTCCCTAGGTAATTGCGCTGACTCGACCGGAGCGAGCGATGTTGTCGTTTGTCCCAATTGGCATTTGATGACCCGCGCTGTTCCAACTACATTACTTACACCACAACATAACAACAATAGCAAATAACACACAAACACAAATATTAAAATTGTATGCATTCATAAATAGAAAATTGAAATTATCAATATACTCATCATTAATATCATTTAAATACATTATTCGACCGTCACTGACCTATGCCTACTCAATATGGGGAGGTTCGGCTAAAGCAACCTTCTGAACCTGGAAGTACTGCAAAACAATTTCTTAAGGGAAGTTTTAAAAGCTCCATGGTATATCAGAAATGATCAAATTTTAAAAGAAACATCTATAAAATCCCCAAAACGTGGATTCTTAAGCATTTTTCAAACTTCTTCTGGCTCTATTCCATCGTGCCCAGCCACTCGTTTGTACCTTCCAGGTAAAACAGTAAATATTTTTCCAAGAATAAAATCAAAGATATTCTTAACACCCACTATATCCTCCTTAATTAGTTTTAAAACAGGTTCAAACATTTCTCAATTCAAATGTATTTGTAATTCAAATATTTTATGTATTTTTCTGAAGCATCCTTCCTGGGTAACCTTCTTAATTAGTTTCAAATATTGTACATTTGATGAAATGTTAGAAAATTATGTATACTATGTAACCTAAAACCCCTTGAAAGACATAACTTTGTGGAACATGGGTAATAAAATTATTTTTAAACAAAGACAAGAATGTGAACGCCATCGTATCGTTAATTTGTCTACGGCAAGGCAATTCCGGGAACTTTTTGAATGGTCTTCGTTTATCCTTTAGTACGTCTTCTAGATTTGCTCGCGTACAGTATTGTGCCCAGCAAGTATTTGTGGAAAAAGCTTAAGAAACCTGTGACCCCGCGGCGCGACTATGTTCCAGACAGTTTGCGTAGACACTTTCAGAAAATTGCGACACACATATGCAGTTGTAAGCCTCCTAGTATCAGTAAAAGTGATTTCGTTTTATTAATGGTTAGGCATGCCAAGGTCGCGGGCGAGAGATTTAAAAGTAAAGATTGGACAAGCTCCAGAGAGGTGATACGTCACTGGATACATGGCTCATTACAGCCTTCTTTGGAGAAGGTCGTTGACAGTTATTGCCTCAAATTTAGCGATGTTATCTTATATTTCCTCTACTAAAACGAAGAAATTATTCATTAAATGTAATAATACATCAGTCAGATTTCAATTTGCCAATTTGGAGTACTCGTACAATTAAACATTATGAATAAAAAAGTTTCTTGATTTTGTAACCGTGCACAGTTAAAGAGTCCAATAATTGCTTATATTCCTTCTTTTGGATTAGGAGGTTTAACTGATGAAGTTTCCTGTCTAGTAAAAGAGCTATCTGCCCGTAAGGATGGACCACAGTACCTACAAATACACTACACACAAAAAACAACTGAGTGATTTAATAAAATATATCAAAACGAAAACATGGAATGAATTTGCATTTAATATTTTCCTGATTCCTACCAAAAATGTTTATGCAAGGCAGAATTTAAAAAGAAAAACTAGAAATCGTAAAGAATATAAAAATAATTCAAACTTGTTTGTTTTTTTTATAAATTTTATTTATGGTCATAATAACTGAAACCGATAATTTGCCTTATTATTACTATTATTATTATTATTATTATTATTATTATTATTATTATTATTATTATTATTTTGAAAGTATGCCGGTTTCTATAGCACTAACTAAAACCATCAGTTTTGTTTCAGGAAAATAACTGAGTTCTTATAGGCTGAGTTTAGTTCAGAACTAGCGTTGATGTTTAATCAGAATTGTCTCTAATCGGTGATTTTCCATGGTAAGTACCAGGCAAATACCGTAGAGGCACCTTACCCAGCGGGCCACGCTTCACGCACGATCTTTCCTTCCTCTGCCTGGTCCCATCCTCCTCCCTTTCATACAAACACATTTGCTTGCACTTAAGTACCACACATGTCGAGAGTTCTCCCGGTTCCCACAGGGGGAAGAGGCCTGGAGGTGGAAATTCCCGGACCGGGGCAGTGGTACATCGGCGCCGAACCTCACGAGCCAGTGGAAGAGAGACACCGTCACTTCCCGAGATTAAACATTCACACCACTATAGGGACTAGCGATTGACGACCCCGGAAACATTAATCAAATCAATCGATCATGAACAGATAGTATACAATGTTACATTTTTTATTTTAGCATGTTAATACAAAAGACTCAGCGCCATTGCTGCTATCTTGCTCAACGTAACCCATATTTGGGTGAATTTTTTAATGCCATTCTCAAATTAGTTTCAAATGTGAACGAAACGAGCCCCTTTATTTATGTTTTAATTTGATCAATATTATCTCTATCCTAAACATGTTGGATTTATATATGAGATTTTACTTAAATTTTAGTTCTATAAGGGATGTTTTTAAAGACCAATATTTTGCCCTAAAAGTTGATAAGATTTTTGGTGACACTGAAGTCGAATCAGAGATCAAATAAATAAAATATTTAAAGCATCTGAACCCTTCAAAAATTTGCTTGCGGTCGATGCAGCGTGTATATACCGTCTCGAAATATTATAAACGGGGGTGGATGACCGAAAAAATTTCTACACAAGATCAAAAGACAAATTCTGAGAGTTAAGTGTCTGGCCTCAAGACCTTAAAATCGGTATGAACAACGCACATTGCATCTCAAGTGAGAACTGGACCCAACTGTTTACATTGAGAAGGATCCTCGTGACGAGTACCCCCTGCAAAACGATACAACCACGGAAACTGGCCAAAGCGCAACACTGTGTCGGAAAACGATTCCCCCCTCCAGGGATCGGAAATGAAAATGCAATGACTGCGATAACAAGCCGTTGCCTCTTGAGGGCTGTGCCGCAACGCCTGCCTCCACTACAGTTCGCTTTGAGCAGCGGTGGCGACCGCTTCGCTCCTCAGCGGAGCGCTGATCTCACTTCTTGCCGTATGCATACGAATATACGGAGTAATAACCGTAGTATGGGCAAAGCTATTGAATGCTGCGGAAAATCGATTTCGAGATTTCAACGCAATACAGGGTTTGGAGTTCCTTGGCCACAAAGAAGCGTTTTTTGCAAAACGTCCATGTGTCTGGTGTCTGAACCCTACTAGCGCCTAAACCATACGTAGGATTTTTTTCGAAATCGAAGAAACTCCTGTTCATCTGGCTCGAGTCTAAGCTTTGAGATTCTGAAAACGTTCTTTAAAAATTTGGGGGTACTTTACATGAAGCCCTCCGGCCATTTTCAAAATTTTCTCAAAAACGGCTCCAAATTTTTTCTTTAAATTTCTTTTATTATTAAATGGATTAAACTTAACAGTGCCATAGGTCCAATTTTCACGGTTAACTCCGAATTTTAGAAAATTTTAAAAGTATGAATTTATTTCGATGTATTTCTACAACTACAAAATTAAAGGTAGAGACTTTCCTTCAAATAAAATTTGTTCCCCGTAGTGAGTTCTTTCATTAAGATCATGTACATTTTTTTGAAAATGTGATTTGTTTTTGCTCAATATTGCATGCAACATGTACAATTTGAAAAAATAACAAAAACAAGACTTTCTCAAATACCGCTCCAAATTTTTTCTTATACTTTTGGTAAGGGTAGAGGTAAATTTACTCCATGAGATGTCACAAACATCAGTTTGCTCTATTCTTTTGTTTTTTTAAACATTACAAAAATTGAATTTATTTGACTTTTCTCCTACGTTGTTAATATTTAACGGCGATTTTTTCCCTTTATTATATTTATGAGTACATGTGTTTTAAGTAATGATAGTCATCATAATCAACATTCTGGAAAACTCAACAGTTTTCTGTGAAAACTAGTTCGAAATTTCGCATTTTCAGAAAGGCTCAAACGCTATTTTCTCATAAACGACTCCAAATTTTCCTTTCATACTTTTCGAACGGATAGTGCTAGTTCCACTCTTTAATATGACGTACAGTTAATTTTGGGGTATATTTTTATTTTTCAAAAGTATACATTTTTAAAAAGATTTTACACGCAGTTAATTTGCACTTTTCCAGCAATTTGTAAACACTCTTCTATTTGTGAGTTCAAGTGCTTCAAATGTCGTCAAATGAAACTTTTGAAAACTCAAATATTTTCTATGAAAAGGGCTTCAAATTTCTAATTTACAGTAGCACTCAAGGGCCATTTCCTCGAAAGCGGCCCTAAATTTTTTTAAAGAAAATTGCCATTTAGTACGAGGTTTTACTATTTTTTAATATTCTTAAAGTAATATTTACGTTCTACTAAGAGTACCGAAAAATTAAGAAATTGAAAAAAAATGTAGTTGGTAGGCGATAGATGGCAGCTGGCAAAAGTATGTCGCAAGTCCGAATAGCTAGCTGTGACCAAAGGAAATAAAAATATAAAATAGGAAAGTCTGTGCCATTCTGTAGCACCAGTAGTTCTTTAGTATTCAGTGACTGAATCTAAATAGCATAGCAAAACCATGTGCGACTCACAACCGAAACTGACGCAATGACAGTTTCGGCTGTGATTTTGCTATGGCGGCAGACATTTTTCACTTTCTGATAAATAACTATTAATTTATTATTTAGTGCACCGTAGTGACCGTTATAAAGACACCGTAGTGACAGTGAAACCCCACATTAAAATGAGCCAACTAGTAACAGATATGAACTAATATCTCCTGAAGAACAATCAGTGCTAACTCCAACTGTAGTACAAACCAACAACCAACAACTAAAATACCACCCAAAATAGTTCATAAAGCTGACCACTACAATCGCCTAATCCGTGATGTAAAAAGTGTGACCAAAGGTACTTTTAATATCAAAACTGAAAACAACAACATAAAAGTTGTTCCAAGGCATTAGGGATTTTCGCAACTTTAAAACATTTTTTGCGACAGAGATAACATAATGTATCACACTTATAGAGATCTCACTATTAAAATGTTATCAGTAACTATTAAAGACTATCCAGGCAAAAAGTGCTCAAGACTGTATAGAAAAGACAAGACACCCATGCCCATAATGGCAATAGATTTAACAGGCAAAGAAATAGCTAGAACAATCTTAAATCTCAAAGACTTATTCTATTGTAAAATCAGAGTAAATATTAGAAATAATACCATAGGTTCTATACAGTGAAAAAAGTGCCAACATTATGAACATACTCAAGCTAACTGTGGGCTAATCCCAAGATGTGTGAGATGTACAGGAAAACACCATTACTCGCAATGCAACTCCCAAAACAAAGGGATATTGCCCACCTGTGTTTTTTGCCCACTGCCTTCAGAAGCAGACAGCTAACTACAAAGAATGCCCAAGATATAAAGAAGTATATAAATATTGTAATAAACTATATTACAATGTATTATGTTATTATTCATTCGTATGTCGTTTAGAACATACAAACATCATATAGGGATGACAGATCCATTAGTCTGCTGGGAAATTTGGTAGCTAATTATATGTAAAAGCAATTGGTCATAAACCGGTTCGTTTTCCAATCGGAATGACCTGAACAATTTAATAATTACTAATTCTAATGTAACATTATATTATCTCACATTAAAAATAAAATAAATGCCAAGTTGGGTTAGGAGGTTATGAATAAATAATGAATGTGATATACTCGAATTATGTGAAATAGAAAAGCGAATATTTAGTGTAACCTATGGTTCACAATGAGTCACTTCCCATGTTTGCTTCTATTCGATAATACCAGAGGCATGTGAAGTTAAATTAGGAAATTTTCCGTACATAATTTCTTCAAATATAAAATTTACTTTTTATTCAGTAAAACGTCTTAATAATTTTAATTCCTTCGAAAAGGTGATTTAGAGAATTGAGCAAACTGCGAAGCTATACTTCAGTTTCCATGTGTTCCAACACTCTAAGATACAATAACAAGGAATAGAAAAGCGTAATGGCGTAATAATAACGTAGTACTACAATAGTACTATTGATATAAATTGAATTGATGCCTTATTTTACGTGGCGAGACTCAGGCCATGAAGACTGCTTTTCCTTCTGTCTACGCATATTTCGCTACTTTCCTTTCACCAACTAGCGGAGAAAGGAGATATTTCTTGGGCGATGAAACAGGCGATTTGAATTTAGCTCAGAGGCTTCATCTACTAACATGGGACACCTGGCTTTACTTCCCCTCAGAAAAAAGGCGTACGAAGGATTTTTTTTCACCCTGAAAATCCACGGCTTCAATAGGTTTTGAACCCGCGAACCGTTACGTAAATCGGTCTTGTCTAAAATTTGAAAACAAAAGCACAAATATAATTGGTTAGATTTGAGTGAAGATTGTCTCGTGCAATTTGATGGCGCATGAACCACATTAGACTAATTAAAAATGTAACAATCAAAAGTACTATTTCTGGAAAAGTTCTTTTACAAACCGTACGTCAACTTTATTTTCCTTTCCGAAAGAGTCAGTTCTAGGGATTTACACGAAGACATATGCGCTCTTTCGGAGGCGAACGTGCAGAATTGGATCTCGCAATCTCTGCACACCGCATTAAGTGATACGCGCACGTTTTCTTGAGCCCCGGAATACCTACCCTCACTCCTTTGCCAACAGTAGTTGAATTAAGAATAAATAATGGCAACGAATTATAGACAAAATCTTTCAACCAAAAATGTTCGCTCCTTGCTATAGACACTATTTTGCATCGCAAAACGAACTAAAAATTTGATATAAAATTCCATTTGTCAAAATAACCAAACTCCCCACATCTCTCTCAACTCTGGTGGATCCAAAAGGTCTAGTTTTCGTTTACCTTCCTTTATTTGGCAAAATTGATCTAAATATTCATTTATGTTCCAATTATTTAAAACAATATTGTATAGTATTATATTTACAGTATAATAACAAATATGTTTATTATTTAACAAAAATCTACGATCCCTCCTCCCCCAAAATGGTTGGCTGTATTCGTCCCTGCCTCTCAAGCAGCTAAGCGAGGGCGCAAGAAACGTGCTTACCTTCCTCTTTGTCGCGTCGACAGGGCCGCACTGGCGAGACTTGTCAGGCGCGGGTAGGGCCGTCTCCGAGGCGGCGACGTCTGGCCGGGGCTGGCTCAGTCGGGGGCTCAGGCACCGCGGCGGCCGCCGACGTTCCAGACTTCCTGCCGGGGCTTCACCGCTTATCGGCAGCGCCTGCGGTCGCGATGCCTCCAATGACAGCCCAAGGAACGCAGTGTGTGTACACACCAGACGAATTTAGACTGCGGCGATAAATAGGGAGTTTGTGCACTCCATAGAGTCAGCACTATCGATCTTCTGCGCATGCGCAGTTGCATTAAAGTGGTGCGAACTTGAAATACGCAACCGCAGAAGATTTATAGTGCTTTAATGTTCGAGGTGGCACAAACTCACTAATGTCTTTTTCGGATTATTCGGGACAACTTGATTCGGCTACGTTGCACAGGCCGCTCCGTGTTGGCAGGTGGTGCACCAGAGGTGTTTAAGGAATATCCTCCCAGTTGCGCATCGGGTTGACTATTCAACGTATGCTGTTATCAATCACTTATCCTCCTCAGTCTACCCTGGATTCCTCACAAATGCTGCGAGGGAAGCCTTTCTTCTATCACGTAGTCTTTGTAACAAGTGCTTATAGTTAAACTGGTGCCGAAGGCAAGAAGTGAATTTTGCACAAAAATATTTCAAATTATATTTCTTATTCCATGTTTTAACATATTCGAATAGACCCAAGTTAAAAAAAACGTATGACAAAGATTCAAAAAAGGCTTTAAAAACATCTTTTTAAAGGAATAGAGCATTTCCCCTGTTAACATCGACCTGCATTTGCGTTGTTATTGAGAAAGCTGTATGAGATGTTTTAGCTAAACTTCATATTTTTTTTAGTGCTGTCACCAAAACTATCAACCACTTTCTTCTAAAATATAGGTATTCTTTATTTGCTGAATGGCTGTTATGTGAACTTGGTAATGAGCAGAAAATTATTAATTTTGTCCTGATTACAAGAATTAGTTTATTGTTTTTATGAACCGGAAAAGTAATTTTAACGGTTCATAAACGGTAATTTTTCTACTTTGCACACGATACCTTTTCTTCTTTTTCTAAATATGTTTTCCAAATCTCTTTTGTTTTGTGGGTATTCTAAATTGCAGCCCTGATCATTAAATTTTGACATCTCTCTTCCATTTCGAAATCTGACAAAGGGGGAAATTAAACTCATCTCAGCGTGCACGTCGGCGTGTCGTCGCTCACACCTTCGTATTTATAGTGCACAATGGCTTCGCATTTTCGAGGAAAACGCACACCAATCATCGCGCGAATGACCTGCTGCGAAAGACCGAAGAAGTTGTTGGGGCACAGACTTGAGCACAAAACGTTTTGTCATCAAATTCCGACGAAGTTATGTCTAATTTTTTATATTGGGAATAGCTGTAATATTCCGAAAAGAAATTAATTCATTTTTACTTTCTCGCATGAACTTCGTAAAAAGAGTATTGTAATCTTGAGTTGAAAAATGGCGAATGTTTGATAGAAAAACTCCCTAGCAATACCTGGCCAAGCTCTGGTAACGAAAAAGTGGACAAATCTTGTTCCTGTACACAGATTATCCCACCAACTACAGGCACCCCAGTAACTTCTAAACGCTTCGCGATATCGAAATACAATTTTCGTTCAACAATGCAACATGTTGAGATAGTTTAAACATTTTTAGTTTTCGGTAAATTTATTCATGTATGTTTTTTAAATGGAACTGTATATTTTCCCACTAGCAACGGACAGACCATAAAAAGAGACATTAACAGTGATAATGTTTTGACAGTAATTGTTTGTTTTGACAGTAACAATAAAATTATACTTTCCGATCTGTGATTTTCAATTAAACGGACAATATTTCCTGTAGCAGTCCACGCTGCCTTTAGGCAAGGTAGCCTTCGCGGCGCCGAGTGTGTTACGGGGTGAGCGGAAGCTTCCGAACAGTAATGTAACTTCGCTCTCTCCACCCAGGACACAATACGGACTCGTCATCCTGTACCCACTCCTCTCTCAGGCTCACCTTCTCCTCGTAAGACCCGGGGCCGCGAAGGTCACATTCCCTAAAGGCGAGTTGCAAGGGCAGTAGAAACAATTTGTCGCTTTAATTTAAAATCACACGTCAAAAAGCATAATTTTATATTCAAACTACTATCAAAACATTAACAAATGACACATCACTGGATTTCTCTTTTTATAATCTATCCATAGCCGTAGGGAAAAATAGTTTCATTAAAAAAATAAAGGTAAATACATTTCAGGAAAACTAAAAATTTTTGGGAGCATATCTCTACATCATATTACTTGTCTCATGATTCCGCATTGTTGAGCAAATACTACATTTCATATCGCAAACCTTTTCGATGTGAGGGTGTAGTTCGAATCAATGTTTTGAGGATCCTTGATACCGAAAAATCGATTAGGAAAACGTCTGTCTGGCCATCCGTCTGCAATTTTCGGAAAATCATGGAATGAAACGAAAATTCGACCTACGAAATTTGGTTTCCTCTACCGGAGGAAAAAAATTGAAGAGTTTCTGAGAAAATGTTGAAAATGCTGTTCAGGCTTCATGTAAAGATCTCCCAAAAATTCAAATACCCTGTTCAAATTCAAGGAGGCGCGACATCGGTCAGATCGATCAGGAAATATCACTTTTGGTGAAAATCATGCTTGTGGTTTGCCCGCTAGCATGGATCACTGACACACGTTCTGTCTTCAAGGAGCGACCAAACGGATTTTGACTTCACAATGTGTTAGACGAAGTAATTTGTTACAGAGAGAAACACAATTTATCCACTTTTTCGTGGCCAGGGGTCGGCAATGAGTTTTCCTGTCGTTTGCTGTTTTCGGCCCCACAGCATCACTATACTTTCTCATATGCAGGTGATTAATTATTTATTAACTGACTTAATTAATAATAATGTAATTATTTGTCAGGATAATCCCGATGACCTTGTATTTCATACGTCGATCCTTGCATTTCGCACATAGAGAGGCAGCGTACGCTGTGAGCGTAAGGCTTCCCCTCTTTTTCCCGTACCTATCTTCAACCAATTCAGGAAGCTCTTGAGATTACTGTGGATGCTTAGGTTTTCAGGTTGAATATTTAATTGGTTATTAATTTTAGTTTTTTGAGTTTAATCTTCATTAGAAATTAATAAACACTGTCATGGTAAAATTAAATTTTGTTGCCAACGAATTTTATTTTGGAGATTACTAAACCAGTTTTTAAACCATGTTTTTAAACATCTAGAGATTACTAAACCAAACATGTTTTTAAACCTCAATGGGTTTTAAACGTTGCTTTAATTTTGAATATCTTTAATTGGTAACATTGATGTAGCGTCAGTGACTGACACCAAATAGAATTCTGTACCTGCCGCCACCGATTCCAAGATACACGTTGTCTGACAATGCCTGACAGCCCCCCATAATATGTTCCACTGATTTGCCATATGATTCACATTTTCTGCATTTATCTATCACATTCATCTTCATAACATTTTTCGTAGTTTTTGATTCGTAGAACCCTATCTTGGATAGCCATTACAATCCGTTCAGTCTCTAGGTAAAAATATACACTTATTAGACAATACAGAGACGCAGCTTTATCAATATGTTCTGTTTATCTTCCAGGTGATTGGGGAATTTTCCTTACACGATTGTAGTTGATTTGAAATGCTTTTTGTGGCGTTTCACGAAAGATTCAGTGGCGTGTGATCAGTTTCATTAACCTGCTGCTAGGTCAGAGGAGTTCATCAGTTTACTTTTCATATTCTGTTCTTGTTTCCTACGTAACCACTTTTCACATAAATATATAATGAACGAATGTATATAGTTCAGTATTACTTATACTACATCATAGATATTTTCTGACTTATATTTAACTTCATTGCTAATCTTACAACTAAATCTAACTACACATGAATAGGAAACTCACAGAGCACCTATGTGATTGAGTTCTGAAAATACGTTGAGGAATGAATCTAATGGGATTTTTAATTCTAGTTGGGAGATGGTAGGTGATGGCTAGGTCGTAATGGGTTGCTTGGGCTATTGTGTTTATTTTGGAGAAAAAATTGTTAGATAGGAGCACAATATGGTAAATTATAGGGGAAAAATTAAATTATATGTGTAGTTGAATGTTTGAGATGAACCAGTGCTTGAGTGAGAAGTCTGAGGAAATAATTTTGGATGATCTGTAATTTATTGATGTTTGTTTGAGAGGCGTTGATCCAGATAGGGCATGCATAAAGCATTAGGGGTCTAATTATTGATTTATAGATGGTGATGACATTGTTTAATGAGAGCTTACTATTGCAATTTAAGAGTGGCTTTTAGTTTAATTAGTTTAATTTTGGCTTGCTGTGCCTTTACTGTTAAGTGATTTTTCCAATTTAGTCTGGTATCAAGAATCAGCCCTAGGTATTTGGCAGATTGATTGTGTGGGGCTCCATGGAATTGGGTTATTTTTTATTTGGAGTGGAGTTGGGGTAGAAAATGTTATAATGAGAATATTTTGGCTGATGATTTTGTAAGATTGAAGTTCACTAAGTAACTGCAATACCTAGGCCGGAGCGAGCGATGTCGCCACGGATGTTCGGCGCTGAATGACATAACCATGTTCATTCAGTAGACCACTTCCTCCATCTTTCCGGGGTAGGTAGAGCCTGTCTGTGGAAGAATTGGAATGCAGACATCGGAACTCAGTGAGCTTTATTACTATTCTTCTTCTTCTTCTTCTTCTTCTTCTTCTTCTCATTACTATTATTATTATTATTATTATTATTATTATTATTATTATTATTATTATTATTATTATTATCTGCCCACCGTGCGAAAATTTCACACATTTGAACTCAATTAAATTACATGTATTGGCCTGTAATTCATTGCTTCACTTGAGGATAGCCTCATTGAATCAACCTATGCCCCTGTGTGTGTTGAGGCTTCGAATATAGCTTAAGTGGTGGGAGAGCTTTGAGGGATGAGCCGAAGATCCAGTAGTGTAAGAAAATGAGTGCGGGCCCACCCGCAAAACTATTATGCGCATATCTTCTTTTTTTCGCTTATAAGGCAACTCGGACCACGGGTGCATCCTGCTTCAGCAGGTGCAAGTACCTTTCTGAGGGGCGGGGGATACCCATTTTAGCTGAATCCCGATGATCTCCCAGAACCCCGATTTTAATCCCGGTACTGATGAAGACAGTGCCATTAGCGCACTCTATGGAGCAAAACGTAAACCACTGTGCCAGTTAGATTTTGGCACTGTCTTATCAATAAGAGAGGCTTACAAATCAACACATTATTCTTTATACAGCGTGAAATGGGAAGAGATGGTGCCAATCCGTAGGTGGCTCAGCGGTTGAGAAAGAGGCCGACAGATAGCACTGAGTTCTGGGTATTTAAAGAGAGTATTCATAGAGCATCGAAGGACTGAACGCTCTTTCATATACATTATTATAAAGAAAACGTTTTGAACAAAACGATACTTAACACAAATATTTGATGAATATTTTCTTATATTTCCTTTTTGTTGGTAGTATCATGGCACAAGTACTATTCTAGAAGCCGCCACTGCTTGGAGAACACAATCAACTCGCAAAATTGAAACATCAACAACTTGCTGTTAAACACGGGCTACTTGACTCTTCTACGCTCAAATACTGCCCAGTCCCTGTATTGGAAACAAAAAAAGATGGGTTGTACTAGGGCCGATTTGTCATCACAGACCAAACAGTGGATTATAACAGACCTGATATCGTCCTCATTGATAAAACTAATAAAACGGCCTCTATAATTCATATTGCCGTTCCTCTGACCCATAACATCAGGAAACCTGAATAAGAGAAGATCAGGAATTATGAGGAGCTGGCAAAGCCATTAAAACAAATCTGTACATGGGAGAAAGTTCTTATATTATATGCCTTGGTAACCTCATCGGAAGGAGTGATGTCGAAAACTTGAAAATAATTTGAAAAAATTGAATACTTTAGAACACAGTTCGAACGATTTTACAGTAAGTTCAAGTGGGATTGAGTGAATTTCCTTTTCATAAGAGCAGAATCAGGTTCTCAGAGACTAAAAGACAGATTCCTCTTGTCAAATTTAAGTGAGAAATAAAGTTAATAATTATAATAATAATATAATAATAATAGTAATAGTAATAACTTAAGAATTCCAAATTATTGTAAATTTTCATAACACTTCGATCGTGTTCAAAATTTATTTTTACGCCACTGAATACTGTCTTTTCACTTTTGAACAAAACGGCATTATATGTACGTACATTTAATAAATTAATATTAAAGTACTCTAGGGTATGGCACGCGATGCTGTTCTGCAGTTTCTGCGATAACACAGAGAAACAAACCCTGAGCTGGAGAAGGCACTACAGTGTCTGCGCTGGCTAGGTAGCAAGCTTGAATTTTGCGTCAGGATTTCATTTTGAAAACCAGTTTCCTAGAAGAAACGTTATTTCGCAAAAACGGATCTGCCATTCCGCTTCCGAACACCTGCATTAAACTAACATAATACTCACAGAGAGTATAGAGACAAAATTCTTAATAACACAGTGAAACATGTATAGTTCAGATATATAATAAGTGTAGACAATTTTATAAGAACATACACCAATTCCTTTAGTAGGAGGCGTTCAATAATTACCAATTTTGCTGAAATGAAGTGTGTTGTTAAAGTACGAGTCAAAGGAAGCAAAAAAGGTAATAGAAACACTATTTTTCAAATTGTACACATAAAAATTTTGGGAAAACTTTTATTCTTTTAAAAATATAGTGGAATTCATGTACAAATGCCATTTGTTAACATATAACGCTACTACTTGAAATAAATCTGTAACAGATTTCATTTACCAGTCTTGATAGTATTTCTTGGTATCAAGTGCGTATAAAATAGCACAAAACGGATGATACAGCATTGGTATTTGTATTACTTCTTCAAAATATCGTATTAATTGCAAGCGCAAGTATATGAAAAACAATGCTACAAATCTAAAGATGAATATAAATATAAAAAAGAGGAAAAAACACACCCTGAAGTACATATTTCATGAATCAAGGAGAAGATAAAGCATACAATATTTTAAATCTCTTGTAGTGCATTTTATGATTTGCATATAAAACGATTTTATCACGCTTCATTTCGAAATATTTTGTAAGAATAACATAATCTGATTAGCAATCGTAAAGGTAATACAACACGTAGTAGATTAAGTAGCTCATCCAGTTTCAGAACAAAAATTCACTACGACGAACTTTGTTATAAGGTAATATCCAATGTTTGCATAGCTATTTACAATTTCTTTCAAAAGGACAGTGACTCCAGTTGAAAATTTGAAGAAAAAGATTGTTCTAAGTAGATTTTAACAGTATGATATCAAAATGTTATAATAATGCAAATTTCAGTAGGTTTCATCTTCTGGAGTTTGATTATTCCGAAAAATATATGAATAATGTAATCTAAACTTACAGAAATAATGGAATATGGATCTAAAAATTCCTTATAATAAAATATCGATCTTCTTCATCGAAGTAATTATCAACAGCCTAATGGTCCTGGAACAAAAATTGAAGAAACTAATCACACATACGGAATATTGAAGCACATTTGGAGTTTTGTACGGTTATTCAAGAAATGACCAAACAACGCGCGTATTAATTAAAATAATTAATATCTTATGCTATGACAGTCTTATTAATAACATAATAATGCATGGTTCTTCATATATTTATAAACAGTCAAATTTTGTGTAAAATACTATTACTACGTTTCGGAAATTTCTATCTTGATCCCATCATTTACAATAAAAATTAAAATCAATATATTATTATATAATATTATATATAAATATTATTATATAAAATATAAATTATTACACAGTTTTAATTTAATTGAAACGCGTGACGAATAATTAATTACGCCATAATACTGAGATTATTGATTTATATTAAATTATAAATGAATAAGAACTAAGCTGCGGATTAACAGGCACAACAAAACTGTAGAAAGGCAAAATAGGCATTTAAAATTGTAAAATATGCATTTAAAGAGGTAATATGTACTATTTCATCTTACTTTATTACATTTTGTAAGAAGTTATGAGAAAAAATATTTAATTCATGGAATAAATTGAAGTTGTCATATCTTACAATAAAATCATTAGAATCATATATGCATGACATATGTGCCTGCTGATAGGTAAAGTTTTAGTTGGAACCGCATTTTATATCTGCAAATGTTCAGGGAAAACTTGAAGGGAATATTTTAGGTGGGTCACATGGGGTATAATATATTATTGCCACACACACACACAACACACCACACACACACAAACACACACCAAACAGAACTCACACACACACACCACCAACTATCGCGAATCTGCTTAATGTGCCACGCGATGCGTGCATCCCACCGGGGCTCAGACTTTATTATCACGTCACTTTTCTATAGGAGGGGGAATCAGCATTTTAATCCTGATTCCATTTTTATACCCTAGGATTGTTAGCCCTGAGGGTTGGGATGAAATTATGATGATGACCATGATCATGATGAATGATGAAATATATTCATATATTCGTTACAAACGAACATATAGATACACACAACACAATCATGTTCGAGGCGGGACTCGAGCTTGCGAACTTGAACATGACATAATTATAAGATCAGTTTTTGATCATCACATTTCATAAAGAAAAAATATGAATCTTAATAATTGTAATTGTAGGAAGAGGCCGAAAAAAGTTTGAATTTTTGCAATTTTCAAAAATCAAAATATTCAAGGAACATGAGACATGCACCATTCTTTTAAGCGTCGTATCTGATATCCCAGCTCAAAATACAATAAACAAAAACTGGTGCAGTTTTTCAGAAAAAATGTTTAAACAAAATTTAAAATTACCCATATTTCACGCAAAATTACGCGAAAATAACTCATATTTTCGAAAAATGATACATGACCTTATTTCCAATTCAATTAAGGGAAAATGTCTATCTTTAATATTTTAGTTGTAGGAAGAATCCAAAAGAGTTTGCACTTTTGAAATTTTCGAATAATCAGGGGTTTTAACGAATATATGACCTGCACTATTCTGTTAAGCATCTATTACGTCCTCCTACAACAAAATTTAATTTAAAAAATTGGAACCATTTTTTGAAAATGTCCCAAGGGGACACCCTCTCCCCAAATTAAAACATCGGTGACAAATTCAAGGCGCCACATCTGCGAGATCGATTGGGGAACATAATTTTTATCCTCTGAACAGTTTAGCGGCTAGCATTGTTCAGACTGGCGGACGGACGTTATGACGTCAATAGATTTGTTGGTATCAAGGATCGACAAAATATGGATTCTGAATACACCACGTATTAGATAATTTTTTTCTAAATCTAGCAATTGGATTTATACACTTTTTCGTTACAAAGGACCAGCAATAGTTTCTCTGCCGAAATTCACTGTTTTCCTCGCAGCATTACATCGGTTATTCTCTACTGCATAAGAGGTAGCGAGAAAGTAAAAATTGAAATGTTGTAACCAAAGTATTTCTTGAGTACAAATATTGGTCAATGATTGATTTATAAAGAATCCACCAATGATGTTGGTGTGCTAAAAACCATCGTGCATTTTAGAATACTAATTACTCAGAGCCCTTCAAACTTTTAAACTCAAATGTCGCGAAAGAACATTTGATGGAGTTAGTTGGTTTTCCTTGTAACCATATGCATTGCAAAGACCATAAACTGTGTTTTTTAGAAATGTAATGTCAAATTATAAGATTATTATAATAATAATTATTATTATTATTATTATTATTATTATTATTATTATTACTACTACTTGCGTATCAGCCATTTCTGACCAAGCTACACGATTAATGTGTGAAACTATTATGATCAGCTTTTCAGCCGTATCCCTCGGTAAGACAAGGATATTACGCCTTGAATTGTGAATTATGAAGTAATAGGATGATGAGGGATGAAACAAATACGACCATTCCTACGCAGGACTGGAACCTGCAGCCTCTTTGCCGCTGACGACGGCTGTCGCGGGGCCAGGGGGCTGCTTATTATTAAGTTTGACTCTGACTATTTTTAGCAATTTCACATCGTTTCAATTATTTTGGTTTCGTAAAGACATCAGACCTTTCATTCTTTGCCTGTCAACAATGATCAATATTATAGACCAACATTAATGAGCTCCCTTTTCCTTTGAAATTATATTCATATCACTACTTTACTAGCAAATGACTAAAACATAGTACAAGGAGCAAGAAATTCTAATACAAAAACTATTGCTGGAGGGCCTAGGACATCTTCCCGAAAAGCAGTTACCTTCCCCCCCACAGTGTTTCTCGTTAAAAAGGACAAACAAGAATGAATAATTTAGGATTATACTTTATTTATTACGTGGTAAACACTTTCAAATTTTGGTTGAGCCTCCCCTCCCGTGTAAAAAGCCTGAAGAGATTACTATTTGACATCGCGCATATAGTTTACTTGTAATCATCTTTCCATTTCGAAGGATTATTTTATTAAAACATCATTGTTGTAACAGTTCAAGGAACGTAGAAAGTCTTAGCTGGATACTCTCGCGAGTTCACCACTAAAGTATTCTGCCCTGAAGTTCCTCTTAGCGTTAACCCACATAATGCGAATGAGATGTATGTGGATTGGAAATCCACCTATCCACTCCATTCTTTACTTTCCTTATTTAATATGGAAGCAACACATGAAGCCATTCCTACAAAATGCAACAGCAAAAGCTGTCAAACTATATCCAGTCATCAATTCTGCATCATCTTTAAAAGTTGAAACCAAAGTGCTTCTCTACAAGAGTATCATTAGACTTACGCTGACATATGCCTGTCCAGCCTGGATAAACGTTTTACCTAGTCGCCGTGGCGTCGTTGCTTGGGCTTGGGCGATCTTACCTCATTGGATTACTGTTTGTGGGGTTCGCTTGAGAACGAATTATACAATCGCAGCGTGAACACAAAGGAGAAACTGCTCGGTCGTATTTTACATGCTTGTTCTCAAGTAAAGAAATACAGAAATGAGCTCAGATCAGCAACACAACACCTGACTATCTCAGCAGCAAAATACATTGAAGTTGACGATCGACTGTTTGGACATCTTTTGTGAGGAAACTTACACCATTTTACAAACCATAACATAACAGTATCTTATTTTACTATCACATTCACTTTTCCCGTGCCTAGTTGGTTTCATTACTTTACCCTGAAATGGTTAAGAAAAAAGCATATGATTATTAGAAGTTTTGTGTTCGGAATCACCAGAAGTATCACCACTCAAAGCACGTACTTTTCCTCTTGACTCACCCTATATAACTTTACGAGTAAGAATACTTGAAATAATATTAGGAAGTTTTCCATTACATTAATGTAAATATGTTATTCTCACTTCCGTAAGGACATTGGTCGATCAGAAAAAATAAATTTAAAAAAGTACTTATTCTTTATTAAAAGACCGAAAAATTACGAGCTTCGAGAAAATTTGAATGTCTGTGTTGGAGAAAACTGTAATACGGTTGTCAATGTTGACCTCAGTCAGACAGATGTTTTGCCGTAAACCAATTGTCGGTATCAAAGACCAACAAAGCGTGGATTCTGAGTACACAACGTATTCGGGAGATGCATATTCTTGAAATGAGTATAGAAGAGAATTGAATTACTAGAATTCAATATTTTGGAAGAATACATTTATTTCCGTTGTCTGAGTTTAAAAACGTCAGTTGAAACAATTTGATGTCCATGACACTAGATCAAAAAGTAAATACATTTTAGAAGTCTAGACAATTTGTTTTCTATAATTTGCAATATTTTAATTTTGTAATACTTTTATATTTACAGTGCGTGTGAATAAAATCTATAAGAAATATTGAGAATAATTCCCTTTTCGGCGCGTGTTTATCTGATGCGTGCCTGCTCGGCAGCGGCAAAGGCAGGGGCAATGGCAGCGGCGAGGCGACTTCCGTGGCCCTGGGAATCCTGGTGCTTATCAGAGGAAGGAAGCGCCGACGCTGCCGTCAGCGCCGCTGAATAGCCTTTCGCTCTTCCTCGAGGAAGTCGCCGCCGAACGGGGAGTCACCTCTGAGATTAGGAGGGGCCGTGCTGAGAGCTTGTGATGCTGGGGTGTTACCAAGGTTTCAGCAATACTTCATAAAGCTTCGTTCTCATGAGAAATCGCGACGCATTATAAAAGTAGGTACTCCTCGTTCGTTTTAATGTTCGATATCAGAACTTAGTTCGTAGTATTGCATCAGAGTTGTTCCGTACGTACACAAAAACATTCTATAGATTTAAGAACTATGTTAATTCACGGTGAAACATAATTTTGGAATTCACATTTTGAATTAATACCACGAAACTTAATTTAAACTGTGACTGAAGCTTTTGAGTGGAGGCTCGTGCTTAAGTGGCATGTTTGCACATTATCTGTCTTCACCTGAAACTAGTTGCAATATGAATTTATGATTTTCGCCTGTTATTAAATGTACACAGGGTTAGTCCATTGTTGATGGCATTGAATGCAT